ATAGATATCACGTAGTCCCATAAACATGTGCATCTTTCTGTGTACAGTGCTTGTAACTTTAACAAGACTGTGCCAAATTTCTGATCATTTTGATGATTCCAGAACCTTGCAGTACCCAACAATACTTATATGCTAGATGGTCAACCTTTTCTGATCGATTCCACAACGTTTCTTTCACAACGCAATCGCATGACCAGAACTGGTCTATACCTTTAAACTCCAAAATTCTATACTATTATATTCTACACAGAGGCTGGTGACATACATGTATCACAAATGGTCTATGTACATGTAGAAAAAGAAATGGTATGCTAATGAGCCTTCAGGACCAACTTTCTCTGATCCATACCTTTTCAACCTAGACTGCGATTTCTCCTTGTCGGTATTGCTGAAATGTCACCAGTCATTTTACATGACAAGTAAAAGAAATAAATGGCAGGAAACATTCCTAAGGTGCAGTCAGATTGTAAGTAAGTTGATTATTAGAGCAAGGTCTGTACTAACTAGACTATTATAACCTGGGCTGTAAGATGAGGTCATCGAGATCAATACATCTCATTTTACCAGCAGGATCTCACATCATAGTCCAGACAGATGAATATTGAGTTCTTTGTATTGTACAAACACCATGTTTCAATTACACCTCATTAGAGTAGATTACAAAGCTTTAAGAAAGAACAAATGATATTTATATCTTTCTTAATACAGGTTGCCACTTAGACTAAATCAAAAGTTACAAATCAACATCTATAACAAATGAATATAAAATAGATAAAATATACAATTAAATATTAGGATAATTGCAAGGGTTTAACTGCAATGTCTGTAATGAAGTTTAAATCCATATTTTTTTAAAGTTAAATTAGATCGATGCATATAATCTGAGAATGTTCCTATTATACTCATGCTTTTCAAAATTCAAAGGAGCACTGAATCAGTTGCACCTGTGAAGAGACTGCATGACTTCACAACAGAACCAAGGCAGGCTTTCAGTAAATGACATGGACTTGAAACTTATTCAAATAAAACTTTGCCTTTTTTAACATATTTAACCTACAGAAAATGACATGACATAAATAATTTTGTCTAATTTATCAGAGATATAAATATGCAATAAGCAAGAAAATACAAAAATCAAGAGAATAGTCTTTCCTTAAAAAAAGGAAATTAAATTCAGTTTGAACAAAATTTAAGTGTCTGAATCATATTATTTCAAAAGGGTGTTTACCAAATGGAAGTAGAAGTATACGACCAGCAATCCACTGAATCCAGAATAGCAATCCAGTATGAGTTTAACTAACGGATGGCTGCATGTGTGTGGATCTGCAAGAACCTCAGTGAGATTCCACAATGCAGTGCTAATCAGACAGAGGTGGACTATTACAGCCTCTATCAACAAGTTCCTTTTAGATACTTATACTGAACTTGTCAGAAGCTGCAATATATGAAAGACCCTCATATTATCTGGTACATGAATTTTCAATACCAGAGGAACAACACCTGAAAGAAATTCAAGTTTCATTACAATTCGTTTTGCAAGTCAATAATCGGAAGACTTTCAAAATTTGACATCTAATGTACATGTACCGTTAGTACAGTATATGCCAAGATATGAGTACTGGTATTCATAGGCTGCTGTCCAAAAATTGATTGAATCTTGTCCTGATACAGCTGTGCAAGACAGATGGAAATGCAAATAATTTTCATCAATCTGAAAGTAACTGTGCCAAAATATGTCAACAGAGCTGTTTAGCAGATCTGCATGCTGGATTTTACAAGTAGTATTTATATTGTATTTATACATTTATGTCTGTATGTTCCTTTTACTGTGATCAATAGCATGTGCAAACATCAATGCATCATGTACATGTACTTTAGATGACATTCAATTCATAACCAAGAATGGGGTGGCCCTTCTTGGATATAAATGTAGAAAAGATGAGATTTCCTCACAAGCCCTTTTATTTTTGCAGCTTTATCCCTTATATAGATTCCTTTCAGCTACATTCATTTTGCTGCCAATCACTTTGAAACCCTAAAGGTTATAATTCAAATCATTTTACACATTATTAACACCCTTCTGGTTCCGAACACATGATATGTCCATCATCGGCAGGCCACAATGATGTCCGTAAAGACTCATTGACAGAAGTAGTTTCTATTCCATTATCAATATTACTGGATAAACTCCTGAGCAAAAATTATTGCAGAGGGTTAAATCTAAATGTATGATTATCATTCATATTATGTCAGTCTCTTCAAGAATGTGAATAATTCAAAGCAAGAGATATAGTTTTAATGCATATAGTTATCTTCTACAGCACATTCCATTTAGTTATAATTAACTTTATATTTCTGTATTACTGTACCTCTTCCATCTGGCCTAATCAACAAATTATCTGAGTCATCTAAATTGTGATATTGTACCTTTATTTCCCCCACCCCCCCCCCCCCATGATATGACTTTTAAATTGCTTTTGAAGAATAAAGAAAACTGTTCCAGATGTTCAGGAAAGCCCAGAAATACCTGGATTTACATGTCTTCCATCATACCCTTGAAGAACTCTGTCTGTAGTACCGTATCAGTACCATTATATTCAGAGGGAATTAGAAAGCCATCATCTTCACAATTAAATAAAATTACATATCAAAGTATAGACATATGAAGGAATATTTAAATCTAAAATTATTAGCATTTTGTTATTTTGAAACAGAAAATATGAAGAAACATGTAAGCTGCAGTTGAGAATTAAATATTATGGAAAGTATGAAATATTATGGATAGTTAAAAATATTATTGAAAGTTTTAGAAGTTATAATGCTATATTTGATGACAAAAAAAGGTTGTATGACGAAGCAAGCACATGTACACTGTATGCATTGTATGGTGTGTGACAGTATAAGTGATTTGTAATTTCAATATGAAATGCTATTCCAAAAGCAAACAAGTGACACAGTTTACTCATAATTTGGACCAACGTGTGTGTACATGTACATTTTGTACCTACACTGTATATCCCTCATCAAGACTTATTTGTTCTGTATCGACTGTGCTCTAGTATAACTATCAATTAATGAATATGCCAATGTTTCATTCATCAGACTTGAGCAAAATTGTCATTGATGCCATTCCACAAAAGGAAGCTAATGAGAGAGGTAGGGTGCTCATGATTAGAAGCATGAAGTACATCGACCCCCACCCCCCCCCCCCCCTTCTCCAAATATCATCAAAGACCCCAAGAAAAAGTATAAATGTGGAATCCTGCAAAGAGCATACAGTACTTTATTTCAAATCCTCTAAACAGAACAAACAGACTGTACGTACAGTATATCTGTATGTGGTACATGTGTAAAGCTTAGTAGCATACAAGTACACTATGTATGTGTGACCCATTTGCCATTTGCACCATGACCTTCACTGCATGTAGAATGTCAGTTTGGTTTATGTCATGCTCATAGCTCAGGCTATGTATTTTGAATAATGTTATAACAACAAACTAATCTGCAACATGATGCTGAATGCTAGTCAAAATGTGACTTTGAGGTGCATGAAGTAAACAAGAATTACAATTTAACACAAATTCATTGATGAAATATAAACAAAAGAGTTTCCTTATATTATCCTGCCCCTCTCTATCTCTGTACATCCCCTCTTCCACCCTCCCACCCCCCCCCGTCTCTTTCTCTCCCTCTCTTTCTCTCTTGTACATTTACAGGTATATCAGAGCTCGACACTAACAGGCGCGTGGGCCAATGGGTGCTCAAAATCCAAGTCGCCGAAGTCGGACCCCAAAATGTCTTTTATAGAGCTTCACTGGCTTATGACACATTATCCTGACCCCCCTCCAAACAATTTAGTGTAGGGCCCTGCATATAGATGGCATTTATGGATGAAATTTTAAATTACCAAGATATGAAATGGGGCATGAAGTAGTGAAGGAGATCAATTCAAATGAAAGTATAATGAAAACACGATGACACAATGTCAGTGGTAGCTGCACACTAGAGATATGCCTTGTGAGCTCATTGAAGTGAGTGCAAAAACTGTAAAAGTTGTCAGATTTGAAACAACTATCAGTATACTACAGAGGGTATTTAAATGACTAAAACTAAATGGACGATGTACACCTGTACAAGTATATTCCCTGTGAGTTATTATATTAAAACATGGTTTTTGATTAACTACACCTGTACATGTATGTAGCATTGTAGGAATATGTTTTGAATCTTGAGAGGTAGGGACACACAATGATACATAATTTGTTGTATTACTGTTCAATCAATATACATACTGTATAAGTGTTACAAAATGGAATAGAATAACAGACAACACAAATGTTTAACAATGACACACAAGACAAGAAGAACAAAACCACCATAGGCTCTAGATCAATAGGACAGACATGTCAATGAATAACCTGAATAAATGACAGACACATTGTGAAACTTTGTTTATCAGATTATTCACTTCAAAAAGAAAAACCATAGTCTTTGTAAGCGCCATTAATATTTAATAAAACATATATTTATCTTAGTATATCTTTGCATAATATGGGCAATAGAGTAAGACCAACACCAAAATTTTTTTTTTTAAATCCCCATATGCTGATCTGTATACCCTGACAATTAAAAGTTTATTATTTTTACTTTGTTGAAAATTGTGAATTTATTAGTTTAGGTTTAATATATGTAAATTATATGAAAAAGGACGTTCCACAACAATATAAATATAGATTCATGTAAGTATGAGTCAAGAGTCTATGACTGTATTATTTTTGGCTACCAATAGTCTATGACTGTATTATTTTTGGCTACCAATTAAAAATTCAAACGTACTTTTGATCAACAAAGAATGAGACAAGAAAACATGAACATTGAAACAAGTTATCAAGCATGCAGAGAAACAGATGAAATAACAAGAAATAAATGATTCCAATACACCAGCAAACAAGAAGAACTGAATCACATAGGAGAGATTCAGAGAGAGAATATAAATCTACCTCTTGGGTCGAGCTTGGAGAGATCAATCAAGGAACCTGTTGATAAAATGAGAAACATGCAGGCGAAAGGGAAATGATATTGCGTTTCATGCACAAAGAATTGGAATAATATACAATTTCTAAATTTTTTATCTCACCCAATATAAGTTCACACTTTCTTATTTGCCAAGGGGAAATTTAAAGCCCAATGGCAAAATGTACAAATGATGAAATATACACAAGAATCATTAAAATACAAAAAATAACATCAGCAAACGAACTTGAAGTCTCTTGTCCTGTATGAGCTTCATTTGCATGTCATAGTATATCTATTTCCTAATAATCAAAATTTAAGCTCTACATCTACATGACAAAACTTGTCAATTATTTTGTAATAATTAGTGGTATTTGTACCATGACAAGTAAAAACAAAAAAGATAAAAGGCAATTGATCATAAGGATAATAATAAACAAAAATTTACAATTCGGAGTTGAGCATTTCAGATTAGATGGAAGCAAACAAATATACAAAAGTGAATGAAGGAGGAAAAGCGTGCAAATGGTTTAGAGTTAGGATTATTTATTCTAATTGTTCACATTGAGTACAACACAAAAATACAAAAACAGAATGAAATACAACATAAAACTGAGTTTTCAAATCAAGTTTTGGAGCTAATCATGTGCTTCTTTTTCAAAAGAAAATGAAATTCCTGGAATTCCTGCAAAAAGTACACTGTACTCAATTATAAGTGGGGGCCCTTTGAAGAAATTGCATCAAATCATAATACAACAATATCATTTACATGACCTGCCAAAAGCAATATCTCCATTTGCCAAATTGACTTATTAACTGAACATGTTATTGTTACCAAATTATAACTTGCAAATAAAAAAAAAAAAAAAAATTATGTAACAAAGTGAATAAGAATTGAATAAAAAGAAAAAATGTCATACACAAAACAACAATCTTGAAATGAAAACCAAAAGTTTCTATTTCAAATCTCTGGCCCTGTACATGTAGAAGCATAAAAATAGAGTCTACAACAGTCAAATGTTATGAATATACGTAACTAGATTAACTTTTCTCCAAATTTGGATATACCATAATTATATACAACATGGTTTTGAGGCTGGACAATTTCTACATCCTTCCCCAAACCAGTCCAGATCAAGGGATAAATGTACCCTAGACTGACAGATAAAGCCAACTGATATGAATCCACAATTTTTGTACAGGTTATCTGCAAATATTATAAGATATATTTTTGTTTAAAGGTAGATTTCTACTTCCTTTTGTTTTCATGATGCATCTTCCCAATTTTTCAATGTTATTTTAATCTTTACTTCATGTTGATGCAATGTCCTGATCTTCACAATCTATGCTTGAGCCTCATTCACACAATATGGGGGTAAACGACCAATATGGTTCGAGGCAGAATGGAAACATTCAATGTGTAACGTATCAATGAATCAATGGCAAATGGGGTAGATCTAAGGAAAACAATTACCTGCTCACAAAGTCCTTAGACTTACTCACTTACAACTTGTATCTGTCAGCTGTCCATTGTACAATACAGAAATGTGAGGTGCACTACGCTTGTAATATTGCGGCACTTATTTTGTTTGTTTCTTTCTTAAAGTTTAATTCTTGTCATGATGAGGCAGTTTATCTCATCACCAGTGCACAATGTTTTAAGACTAAGAGGAATTTGAATCTAGAAGACTAGATCTAACTAAACCCTCCATCATGTCCATGACTCCAGTTTTAATTCAATATTTTGGCCTTAAAAGTAAAATATCAACTTCTAATCTTGACATAGAGGCGATTAGATCTACATTGAAACAGTCAGGACCTAGCTATATTCTCACCTACTGACGGCGATGCCTGTGATCTTGGGCTTGGTGTTGGCTTCTCTGCAATTGATGTTGCAGTTGGTGTAGCTGCAGGAGCTGGTTTTGGTGGTTGTGAAACTGGCTTTGGCTCTTCCACCTTCTCTTTGGGTTTGATTTCTTGAAGATGATCAAAATCTCCCAGAGATCCTGAGCCGGTCGTATCAGGAACACTAGGATCTTCAACAAAACCGCCAAAGTCGTCAGCTCCTGGGCTGGAATAGTCCGGTGCTGCGGGCGCGGCCGCTGGACCATCCCCGAAGCCGAAAGAACCCAACAAATCTGCCGTGGGAACCTGCGCCTCCGGTTGCTCGGATGCATAGCGATCCTCCTCCGGGTTGTCGCTCATTGCGAGGGGTCTGTCTGCATCTACCCTCTCGAAATCATTATCGTTGTCGTAATCTCCTTCAAATCCCTGAGTGGAATCAGGCTGAAACTGGTCAAAGTTCGCCATTGTAATTAATATCGACTCTACTAATATTTTAATTACCGTTAAATAATTCACAAAACTGCCTAATTCGCGTGCAACATTCAACTCTTCGGGTTCGACGGCACTGGTGCAGACATCGGCAGAGAGCAATGAATGGGCAAGATGGCGATGGGTTTGATGACGTAATGCTACCGTGAGGTCATTGTCGCGTTGCGCGCGATTCTTGAATTTTCTCGTTTCAAGTTTATCAAGTTGATCGATCTCGTCAGTCTAAGTTCTATAAAGGCCTATATGTATTCGCTATATATTCATGGTTTATTCAGCATGTTTAATTCCACCGTGGAAAGGATTTTTTAAAAACTGAACGATCGTGATCGATCGGTATAGAGAATTGACCCTGGCTGCTGTGAACAAAATGTGGGGAGGGTGAAGCTGGGGGGGGGGGGGTGCCCAAGGCCTATATGCCTAATTAATTAACAGCCCGTTTTCGCGTCTTTGTGAAGTGCCTCAATACAAATATATTTCATCCACCTCTAATGAATAGATTGTATTTCACTCTTCAATTGCCGAATTCAGAATGAAAACTGTTCAACCCTCCCGCAATTGGAGGGACGGTCTCACGCCACCACGTCGCTCGATCATTCTCCCGGTCATTCTCCTGCCCTCCCACCAGACTCCCACCAGCACGCCCTTCCTCGGATCCCGCTCCCACTTCGATGTAGAATCTCCCGGTTTATGAAAAAAAAACTCCCGCCAAACGTGGTAACCACAATTTTACTCCTTTGTTGTGCTAAGGGGGGGGGGGGGGGGTTGGTAGTGCATGATCATCACTAACTTGAAAAAATAATAATTTAACTCAACACCCCCCCCCCCCCGCCGCCCCGTTGAGCAAAAAAAAATGTTTGCATACGATCTCCCTCGAAGCAGTCCCCCAAAGTTATTTTCTTTTGTTTGTAATGGCAATCAGTCAATAACTTACTATATCACCAACGCCTTTCTTTTTAATAATAATTTCCTTCTTTCTCATTTTTCTTTCTTTTTAAAATATAAGGTGTGGATAACTTATTTATAACATATAAAAGTTAAAGCCCTGCTTATATAGCCGTATAGGACGTCGTACCTGGCAACAATGCAGTTCGCATTCTGACTTTAGATAAAGTTGTAAAATAATTCAATTCACTGACAGTCCATGAGTCCATTACATAATTTTTTAAAGGGAAAAACTATGTTATTGGTGAGGGATTATATCAGTTTGTACCTAGATTTTGATGATTCAGAAAGAGAGAATTGAAGAGAAGAAGAGAAAGTGGGAATCGAACAAGGACAAGAAAAGAAGACGCCATGCATGTATGACTGTAAATGCGCATTTTATTTTCAGAGTAAATACCCCCCCCCCTCCTCCTCCCATTGCTCCAGTGCCCCCTCCCATCAATAGGACTCACTCTATAGGCCACTGTACTCATCGGACCTCTAATATTTCGACTGACCTGACTAGTAGTAGTAATTTGATATAATCTTCTTTATCCTCCTGAAGTTTGACTTCGAAATACGTATTTGATCAGCACTTGCCAGTGTAGTTTGATTATTAATTTGAGTAATTTTCATTAATAATTTGCTGAATTTTCATAAATAATTTGTATTTGCTTTTCATTTAAAAACTTTAGGCTTTTATAATAAGTATATAGGCCTAATCATATATAGTTAATGCATTTATATTTGTTCTTGTATGTAGCCTACCTACTTGTGTACTATAAGAATATTGGATTGTGGATTCCACTTCAAAAAACAAATTGGATTTTTAATTCAGAAATCCCATATTAATATCTAATAAAGAATTAACATGCGTTTCAAAGAGATTTCCGCGAACTTGTTAACATTAGTTTCGAGAAACTGGCACCCATAGAGATTATACTTAAAAGTTAGTAGTATATATCTCTATGCTGGCACCACATCATTTTTTTAATTTTCGTTTGTCTCTTAGAAGATAGCATACGTGTGTTTTGATTCATCTCGATCTCAGCTCAGCTAGGACGTGCATCGCTCGAGCGCGCGAAACTCGAGTCAAGGATTCTTTCAGTTTCAGTGTCTTTGGAGGTGAGTCATTGATATTGAAATGATAATGATAATCACTAATCACATGATCTTGTGTTAGCAGCTCGGCAGATCGAACTCATTCAGTTCATACCCTATTATACTCCTCGGACTCGGTTCTTCGTGCTTCAATCAGACCTGACCCCGATCAGATCCGACATCATGCATCAGAGACAGAGAGAGTGCAGTGCAGTGCCAGTGGTTCCATGATGACCACGCCCACGCCACTCGCCCATCGCGTCGGTCATCCTCTCCATAACCATTAACAATCAACCACAACTGACACTAAAATTGAAAACACATTTATCTCACTTGGTCCACGTCGTCAGATTCATGCAAGTGGAATTAAAGTGTAACATATCATCCCTACCATAAAAAAGGCAATAATTGGGCCAATAATTGCTGAACAATGAATATAGACTAGGCCAGGATCATTCATGCCTTCATGGTTTATTGGTTGTAGATCTAACTTGTAATAATAGGTCTATTATTAGATACAGAGTACATTTGTTTATACTAGTTACAGCTGATTCTAGTTTCAGCAACTGTCATGGGACATCACCTTGTTGAGGTGTCGATTTCAAACAAAAAGGTATGATGAACATATACATGCACAGCGAGCGCGAGTCAGTCCACAGCACCATAGACTCTAGATAAACTACGATCTGACAATGTCAGTGATGCAAATGTGGATGAATTTTTAATAGCATTTGATTTACTAATACTATTTTTCTAATGTCAATGAAACTGACCACAAGATTAAATCTTCATTTTCCTTTGACTTTTCTCACTGCGTAGCTCTACAGATATGAAATTGAATTGGCATTGAATTCTCAAACATCAGAAAAAAACATTGTTTCTTCCCAGAGAAATTCACTTGATGTCGTGATGGCTGATGTGCTCCTGAGAAGTAAGAGAGTGAGGCGTCCCAAGCTGTCGCCAGACTTTGTCTATGTAAGCAACTTCTTGAAATACTACCTTTGATGACAAAAATATAGATCTGTGTAACTTGCCCATTTACTAGATAGATTTGGAGTACTACCGAGAATGGTTTTGATGAATTTATCACTGGTTTCACAGTTTCATTACACAAATATATAGACCCTATTTGAATAAAATACTAAAGTAAATGCCTATGAAACTTTAATAGGAATATGAAATGTCAAAATTGGGTTTAATCTATTTTGCTTGTCTCCTCTTAGGTAAGGCATATGTTTCCTGCTCTCTCTTTTCTCTTCTCTTTTCTTTGGAATTGTGTGTGCCACTATATTATTTTTTAGTATAGATCCATACATTTGTAGATCTCTTGCATCCTTGTATGAATATGCTAGTTATTTCATTGTACTATTAGATTAGGCAAAAACAACTTAATATTCATCTTATAGAGTTATCAAGTATCATACACTCTGCTTCGTTAATTTGCAGGCCATTCAGACTGTTTGATACACTAGCTGGTGTGGATATCTAAATTCTGAGATGTAAATGTAGCTAAAATTCAGAACCCACTAGCATTCACGAACAAGCCATATATCTTCTCTGTGTTGTCAACTTTATACCGCTAATGAAAAATAACATCATTTCCGATGACATGAAACTAAATTTTGTGTTTTACAAGGTTATTAATCAAAACAGTCTGGAAGAGGTCCCAGAGGTAATGAACAGATTGCAAAGTTTTTAAAATTAATCACAAAACAAGTTTCTCAGAGATACTCAACCTTTAAAATGCATTCAAATTACTCGTATTTGTTGTATTTTCAAATAGCAATCACCGATGGCTCCAACAAAGAAAAGTAAACTTGTGATAAATGAAGGTGCTATGAACAGTCCAACTTCTCACACTCAAGAAGAAGGGAGAGGATTCCATGAGCTTTCAGCTGAAATGATTCTTCAAGTCCTGAAGTATTTACCCATCAAGGGCCTTGTTGCAGCTAGTGGTGTGTGCAAGAAATGGAGGAAACTCTGCAAGGGGGCATCACTGGTAAAAATTTTGAATTAATATTTTGTTAAAATCAAATACATTTCTTTGAGTTTTTATTTGAGCAGTAGTCAAACACAACAATCTGGAATTTTATAAAAAGCCTAATTAAAATGGTATACCGTAGATTTATTCATCTGAATAGGAGCCCAATTAAAGCAAGCTGACTTTTTTAAATGTTACAAATATAAACATTCTTTATTCGGTCACCATTGTATCTTTTTATTATTGATTACAGTGGAAATGTGTGTCATTTGAAGGAAGTGAAGTTGATAGACTACGACCACATTTCTGGAAGAGACTTGGAAAACTTGGTACAACTTGCTTGGTGAGTAACAACTTCTAAGTAACCATTGAAACCACCTTGTAGATGCATGCCCTGCTATTTTGATGAGCAAAGGTATATGACCTAATTTAGCAATCTTCTCCATCAAGTGAGGCCATTTAGACCCTGTCACCCTGAATATCCCCCACCTCTCCTCACCTCTCTCCTGACATCACAATATAAATGTTTGTGTGTAAAGTTATTAATGTCTGCTTCAGGGGGAAAAAAACATGGGGGCTCGGGGCGAATTAGCCCCCGAAATGCCAAAAAGAGCCCCCGAAAGTCATAAAAGAGCCAACAAAAATTTGCATAGAGTTCAATGCAAAACAGATTGCAAAACAAATTAAAGAGTACTATTTTCATGCAAGCAAGCTTGAAGAGTAGCCCCCGAAATTTGTTTAATAATTTTTTCCCTGGTCTGCTTGTGAAGTAGGTTCACCTATAGGACTCAGAAACATTGACCCGGTCACAAAGTAACTGTTTATGACATCACAGGATGTTCACGCAAGGCTAGTGAGCCTGTTCTACCAAGGATCTTAAAGCCTATCTGCACTAGTTTCCCTGCATGGTCACTGGCAGGTACATGTAGTTATCTAATCAAATCAGCTCTCACTTAACATAAGAAACAGGGGACGTTGGGGGATCAATGCGTACCGCTTAGGCTTTATTGGCTGTATAGACGCTGGTGCAAGTAGCTACAAGTAGTGCAGTCCCACTTCAAAGGATAAACTTCTAAAGTCCCCCTTCGCAATCCATCACATTTCACTCACACACAGGACATGGTAGAATTCTTAGTTAATGTATATTCACATCTTACACAAGGCAAAAACATTAACAAAATAAAATAATGAAATAAATAACTCCTGAACATCGTCTTATTTGGAGTTTATTTGTCAAGTTAAGTTCAGGGGAATAATTTCTTTCAGGATTTTCCCTCTCAGGGTGAATTTAAAAACTTCTGTGGCTAGTTACGTACTGATATATGATTTAAGACCAATCAGTTGTTAAATCAAAGTCAAACTAAAGGAATAATGAATTTTGCCACTTTGGGAATTGGCAGGTGGTGTCATTTTTCTCTAAAGATAGATACTCAATACAGTGATCTGTCCTGGTTACCTCAATCCCATTTTGTTATCTCAGGATCTTCATGACTGTGTCAACCCGGAGACATCTAATAGGAAGGCAATAAACTACATCATCCAGCTGACCAATGTCAAGGCACTCTACTTCGGGGTCATCGAGAAAGGAGACCTCACAACTATAGTTGTAAAGATGCCTCAACTCAAGATTCTTCATGTGGCATGCCTCCTACCGCCACTGTCAAGGTACAAGAAAATGGAATTTTTTGTTTGTTTGTTGTTAAATTGATGTTTGTAGGTTGAAGATATTCATTTCAATTAGTTTTGATATACACTTTGTCTATTGCAGATCATTTTAACAAGATTAATGTTGTAAAAGTTGATTGAAAGATTATCAAACCACAATTTAATTGTGATTTAATAAGTCCATCTTGGAAACCACACAGACAGGATTGTGGGGGTAAAAAAATGTTAAACTAGGAAAAATCAAATCAAAGATGAGATGCTTTCTTCTGTTAGTTGTATTTTGGTCTTTGGATGATGCTTTATCATTTTTTTCTGTGCGTGGACTACTTAGAAGTAACAAACTACCCTTAAAGAATTTTATTTTGATAGTAGATGTGAATACATCTTATCTTTATTAAATGTACGATGCAATGTGCGGTTTGTACCCTTTAAGCTTTTTCACTTTCACAATTTTGTTCTACGAGCTTGTAATGAGTCCTAGATTCATCAAATTAAGATGTGATCTCATCTACCATACAAGTACTGCTATACATTCTGTGTTTCTGTAACATATTTTATGTCAGCTTGTACCTTTATGTACCCTGTAAGAGGATGAAAATAGTTATAAAACTGAGATTGCTAAAGAAGTTCCCAAATTCATTCACATCATCTCCTGTTACAGAAACTCTAACAGGATCTTGTTGAGAGAGGATGGAGCTATACTGTATGACATTGGTAGGATAAGGATTCTGAAGGATCTAGAGGAGTTGAAGCTGAGTTCTATCTACGGTGTGTGTGTGCCTTCTATAGCATTCTACGGAGGAACACAGGCCTTAGGAGACCTCAAGAAACTTAAGAAGCTGGTAATTGTGTAAACCATTATTCCTTTCAGATCACTGTCTCTCCTTCTGTATTCATCAGCTATGGTTCCTTCATTAGCTTTACTTTTAGTTATGATTTGTACTCATTACCAATTTTCCCCAAATTTTTGTTCACAAATTTGCAGCATTCACACTGATTTGTTGAGTCTTTTTCAGGCTTGTTAATTATTTATTCTTGTATCTTGAATTGTGATTATCATCTAAGTTGTTTTGTTGTGGTGTAGCTTTGTTTGATTCTTTATAATTCATTGAAGTTGACAACAGTTCTTTAATAGTTCATCAAAAAGAGTTTGTTAAGTCAGTTCAATCATGACATTTAGTATTACGTTGTTCTTATGCATCAATGAGACTGAGTTACTTATGAAATTACTGGAATGGAAATTTAAAATTTGTTGATTTGATATTTCCAAAAAATAATTTGGGGAGCAACTAATATTAGAAAAATACAGTAATGACATTTTACTAGAAATTATTGGAAGGTTTAGTCAGCATCATAAATCTAATGTAAAGTTAAGTCTTAAACAACATTTCCTTTACTATAATTCTCTGAAATAAAGTTTTGAATACTTGGTTCAATTCTCATTTTCTATTATATTTCTTAGTTTTCATGATTTTCTTCTTTTTTCCATATTGAATCTTAGATAGTTTAAATGGAGCTTTCATCATTCAGAGCCTTACAAAATTTGTAAGTCAAATGTCTTGGCTAAAGCGCCCATATTTTTCAGTTTTTAAGCCAGGAATTGGTGAATATGTACCAGTATGTACTTTGCTTGAACTATCTCAATCCTGATTCTATTATCTATTCAACCTGAATGTTGATATAGGCCTATAATCCCATTACCAAAACGAAATAAGGCATATTCCATTAGTGAAATATAGCTTAAGGATTTTTTCTTATGTTTAATCTTTACAGATACTAACCAACTTTGATGGGCTAAGTAGTGCTTATATGTGTTTTTTAAAGGACCTACCATACCTACAACATTTGGAGCTGGGTAATTGTTCAGACTTCGAATTGCATGTAAGTATTCTAATCTAATCCACAGAGTATATAGCGCCTTTTCCTTTCACTCATAATGCGCTTCACAATTTGCTCCACAACATTGTACATATATATGATGACTGCTTAAAAGATGAAAATAACACTTCAAAAACACCTGTTAAGCGAATGTAAACATATTGCAATTCATGCTTTCTAACAAAACAAAGTTGGCCTTCAAAATATTCTTGAACTGGCCTACAGATGAAACAGCCTTCAGGGTTTTTGGTTGTTCCTAAAGGGAATACCGGTACACATACGCAGCACAATTCAGTCTGCACATGATCTTAATTATTTACATCTTCTCTGTAGTACAGTCAAACCTGTCTATAGCGACCGCCCAAGGGAAACACAAAAAGTGGCCTTTGTAGACAAGTGGTCTTTGTAGACAGGTTCCTTTAGTAAATGATTCAATGAGAAACCATTTTCAAGGGAAACAACACATGTGGCCTTTGTAGACAGGTGGTCACTAAAGCAGGTTTGACTGTATATGAAAAATGACAAACTCAACCAAACCGTGTGTCATTGTACTTCTTCAAGGCACACTATAATTAGTACAGTCAAACCTGCTTTAGTGACCACCTGTCTACAAAGACCACCTGTCTACAAAGGCCACATTTGTTGTTTCCCTTGAAAATGGTTTGTATCATTGTATCATGTACCAAAGGAACCGGTCTACAAAGACCACCTGTCCACAAAGACCACTTTTTGTGTTTCCCTTGGGTGGTCGCTATAGACAGGTTTGACTGTATTACTTCTGACTCTTAGTTTTGAAATTCATCGTCCATGAATCTTAACTTCTCTTTTCCCTCTGATTATCTTTCCAGGAACTTGCCTCTTTAAGAAAGGTTGAAAACCTCAAGTCTCTGAGTCTCACGAAGGCTCATTGCATGTGTCCTGGGGTTCCGTGTACATGCATAGGGACATATCTGAGAGGGTTAAAAAGGTAAGTACATGTTTGTTTAATGGCTCCCTCATAGGTCAATCTTTGAACAATTCAGCCCAGATACATAACAGCCAGCTAAATCTCTGATTTTATCTTTGGAAATTCCTAACTTATGTGTGCAATATAAATGTAGCTATTACTATTACTTTTATATAAATCTCAAGTTGAATTCTCACTTAAAATAGACCAATCATAAAAATATCTATAATAGTAATACGCTAAGGCTCCGCGGGGGGCGCGACGTCTCCGCCAGCCTTTGTATTCTATTGTTTTTTAATGAGATCGCCGACCCAAGTTGGTGCAGCTATCTCCTCCTGAACCCTCCCCTCGGGGTACCGGTGACCGGTGCCGTCGTCCGCGGGAGAGTCTACTCTAGCGAATTGGCTATACTCCGCCCGAGGTCCTCCTCCGTGTCGACGTCCAGGGCGAAAACAGACGCGACATGCATAATGCAGGATATGCGTGACGACAGAGATACCTCATGGATATTCAACATAACATCCGTAGACACACGACCGATGACCATCCACTCACATTACGTTGCGTATTAAATGCTCTATGCAAAGGGCGGGATTACCGAGAGTAGAGCGTCTTGCTATAGGATGTGCTTTGTAGTAGCGAGGATGTGCTTTGCATGTAGTAGCTGCACAATTATACACGGGGCTTCCCGTCGACGTCCAAACTTAGAGACCTATTTCCATCATGATTGCCGCGATTTTGATATAGTTTTCGTGAATGGAGGTATGAAATCAAAGCTTATTTTGTGATTATGACGGTTAATGTATACTACATTTTTGATTATCATTTTCTAAAGGAAAGTTTTCACAAGAAAACCATTGGACTGACAGTTCATGTCGCAAGCTTACACATACAGGCAGTTCCTCACACATACAGTACTCACAGTGCAGTGTAACACCGGCACCGCGCACTGCAGGCGTCCGAAGCCTGCGGCGTCGGTGTTCGAGCTTTTTGTTACGCTGGAGTGTGTGTGAGTTAAGCTGAGCTGAGCTCGAGTCGAAGAGATTTGACACTTTGAAATTGTTATCTGTTGGTTTGCATCCTTATTGCCGCGATTTCAATATAGTTTCGTGAATAGATTTACAAAACCTGAGCCTAGAATTAGTAAAAGTATTACTAATTCTAGGCTATTAATTACGTTACAGTTCTTGCATCAAATCAATGCATGAAAACTTAGTTATTGAACTAGAAAAATGTTTTTTTTTTTTAAATAGGCAATTATGAAGTATTAAGCCTGAAACCTTAGCCTACTAAACAAATCTCAATAAAGTGTAGGCCTATCCTTTTATGAATTAATGAAAAAGTAGCCCCAGAAAAAAGAGCCTCCGAAAGTTGAAAAAGTAGCCCCCGAAAATTTCCCAAAAATTGGAAATGATCGAGCCCCCGAAATGAAAAAACTTAATTTTTTGCCTGCGCCCCTCCCCCCCCCCCCTCTAGAATCCCGCGGATTTCCGCGGGTCCTGAGTTGAGCGTATATATAATATAGGCGTGGGGTCCACGGGTTTCAAGGGGCCATAAACCTCCAAAAGCTCGGGGGGTTACGTTCTTCAAAGTTGGGGGGGGGGGGAGAGATCAGATCGCGGCGAGTTGAGTGTATATACAATATAGGCGTGGGATCCACGGGTTTCAAGGGACCATAAACCCCCGAAAGCTCGGGGGGTTTAGGCGTTTAATTAGGGTCAGATGAGCATATTTTTAATACTTTATTTGTGACACTTGCGGGTCACTAATTGGCGTGGGGTCAATACGTAGAGTTGCGTAGTGTTGCGTACCAACTACGCTGGCCTACGTTACTATATGCTGAGGGACGGAAAGAGGTACGCAAGATGAACAAAAACAATTCAACATGTTTAATTTTTTTCGCGTAGTTTCGGCGTAGAAACTTGACGCAGAAAGTACGCCTTTTTACGCAACACTATGCTACATGACTACGCAACAGTACGCTACCCTACGCCAGATCGTCAAAGCAGTAAAAGCTTTCTACACAGTAAGCAACCATAAGCAAACCTGTACTCCAGCCTACGCATAACCTACGCAGGGACTATTTTCCCATTAATACGCAGCCTAATTTCTGCGTAGTCGGTACGCCACACTACGGAACTCTACGCAGTTCCAGTGGCTTAAAGAATAACTACAGGTACAGTTGGATCGTTTTTTTATTTTTATATTTTTATATAAGGCCAAATTTAAAAAAAAACATGTTTAGTGTCCTGTTTTTTCGAAAAATGGGAAGGAGGAGGCCCTTTTTTTTTCTTTCCTTCTTTCAAAAAGGTTGCTCCGTACATTTTCCCTGACATTCTGGCTTTTTTTCAAGATGGCGGCCGACAATTTTTTTTTTTCTTTTTAAAATCAGAAATACATTTTAGCAGTGCTTTTCATGTTTTTTTTCTTTCAAAAAATTAAAAAATTAAAATTAAAAAAAAATAAAAATAAAAAATAAAAAATAGGAGGCGGCCCCCAAAAAGGAAGCAGGCGGGGACGCTGTTTTTTCTTTCAAAAAAAAATTTTAAAAAAATTAAAAAAAATAAACAATTACAAATTTTTTTTTTTAAATTTAAAAAAAAAAAAAAAAAATAGGAGGCGGCCCCCTAAAAGGAAGCAGGCGGGGACGCTGTTTTTTTTTCTTTCAGAAAAAAAAAAATTCAAAAAAATTTCAAAAAAAAAATAAATAGGAGGCGGCCCCCAAAAAGGCCCGGCCCCCCCACTCAGAGGTCGGAATGACCGCATGCGTGTTGCCAAAATGTCCGGTAAAGGGGTACTTTTCATGCGACCAAGTCCGGCCCGAGAATTGTAAAAAAAGGGGTGTATTTGACTTTTCACCCGGAGATTTCTTTAAAAGGGGGTGTTTTTCTTTTTTTCTTTCATCTCTTTGGACTCCTGAGAAATTATTCCAAATTTAGGGGGGTACATTGAGCATTTTTCCTGATTTAGGGGGGTCTCCAAGGCAGGAAAAGCCCGCGAAAAGCCCGCGAAAGGGGGGTTCGGAAATGTTGGCAGTCCTCAGATAGGGGGTGCTTTCAAAAAGAGGGTACGAGCATATGCGTACCCTAAATAACACTGAGTGGGGGGGGGCCGGGCAAAAAGGAAACGGGCGGGGACGCTAAACATGTATATTTTTTTAATGGCCTGAATGGCAAATAAAGTTCTTGGTGGTTTTAATTTAGGCAGTCTCTATATATCTATTTACATCCCCCGCCCCCTCTAGAATCCCGCGGATTTCCGCGGGTCCTGCTAGTATGTTGTATATAATTACAAGACCCCCCCCCCCCCCCCCCCCGAAATAAAAAAAATTTAAAAAATGTATGAATATTCAAATAGTCAACATGTTTATGGGGAAAAGTTTTTTCATATCAAAACTCCCAGTTCACTTTCTTGTGTGCATGTTTGCATGCATCAATTAGTGTACTCACACATCATTTTCACATGTATTTAGAGTGTATTCAAACTTGTAGAAGATATACTTAAAGCTTATATTTTGAAATATACTGTATGACAACGGTATAAATGAATTCCAAACATACGAGGATCAAAAGTATTTTGATGATTGTGCTGTTGAACATTCTTATGTGTTATGATTAAGTGTGAATTAAGAGAATTATATAGGACATTCACCAAGGCCTTCTAATTATTAAATCTTTCTATATGCTATTAAATGATATCTATTTGGCGCTTTGTAAGATCTCACATTAATGAACCCAGTGCACCATTTCCACTCCTGTATCCTGTTCTATAACGCGCATAGAGACATGCAATTAAGCCTATGTGTTATTTGCTATACAAAAACATTTAATCATTATTATTACTCTAATATTTCTGATCTTGATTAGGTTGAGAAAGCTGTCCCTGATAATGTGTCGCATACCAGACGATTTGGCTGAGTCGATTCAAGAATTACCAGAGCTGAAGAGCTTGGAGGTTTGGCCTTGTTTAGACAAGTTCCTCACCTCTCAGGAGCAAGTAAGAATCTTTCTTTAGCCTTTCGTAATCTGTGCATGATTCTTGGAGCAGAAGGTCGCTAATTCATATACTTCAAGTCAGAGTTAACAACCTTCTGGCTATGAACAGACGAACAATGATACATCTCCTCAGATGGATATAGTTCTTTGTTGCTAACAAACCTGAATATGGAATTTTTTATAAGGCCCCCACCAAAATATAACATTATTTTTACACTGATTGTAATTACAACATTGTACAGCAAAACCGTTGTAATCTACTCCGTCATTTTGGCATCCTTAAAAATAATACATTCCTTTCAAAAACTACTTTTACTGAAAATCTAGAAACAGATTTGGCCAGTATGGATAATTGTCTTTCACAATCTTTATCATAATTGGTGATGTTTCCTTATCCTTGATTCCATTCTCAACAGGTTGTTGACTGCTTTATGTCCATCTTCCGTGGCTTAGAGCACCTACACTCAATCACTATCGGCATTCTGGATAATAGCTGTATACCTAGTCCTTTATGCAGTCCTTACAACCAGATTGTTAACGACAGGCTGGCTGATAGAACAAAAGATACATGTTGCTCAAGATTCTCCTGTAACGATGGGTGGACAGAGGAGGGAGGTACCCTAGATGAGTCTTTGGACCAGTATGAACAACCCCTAATAAGTGGTGATGAAGTAAGTGAGACGGGGGAAGAGATGATGAACAGTGAGGAGGAGGAATGCTCTGGTGCAATTTCAAACAAACCACAGGATAGCCAGCAAGAGAAAGATAGAACTACTGTATCAAGAGAAAGGAAAGGCCAAAGAAGAGGAATTAAGAGAAGGAAAAAGAAAGATCCTAAGATGGGAACATATGACATGATCAAATATGGTTTGATCGACCTCTTGCCCTCAACTCGATTGACCTTTTACCTGGTCAAAATGAGCAGGAGTAGAGGTGAGGAGACAGAGATGTTCTACATATCAAGAAAAGAAGAACATTTTAATATGGCAGTACTATCTCAAATATGACATGAATGATATTTCTAAAGCAAATCTCACTGAATTGCCAAACTGATGCCTCAGGAATCTCTTCCTTGTGTTGTTGTATTTGTATTACCTTGTACTTTAATGTTTGACTTTTGAAACAAAGCAGCTGAGTGGGGTCAAAACCTGTGATTTTTGTCCCGCCTGCGTAGCAAAAAGCGAGACATAGGGTGTTTTAGTATAATTTTGAAAGTATAAGTTCTCATTCAATGAAACTTGGACTAAAGGGTTATCAAGTATTCCCAATCATGTGAGTAGAATTTCAGGTCACAAAATTAAGGTCAAAGGTCATTTCAGGTCAACAGACTTAGACTATGTTGTGGCATCATCATGTTAAGTTTTTGAATTTTTAATATAATTTTAAAAGTATAAGTTCTTATTCAATGAAACTTACACTAAAGGGTTATCAAGTATCCCCAATCATGTGAGTAGAATTTCAGGTCACTTAGTTAAGGTCAAAGGTCATTTCAGGTCAACAGACTTAGACTATGGTATCAACATAAAGATTTTGAATTTTTAGCATAATTTCAAAAGTGTTTGTTCAAATTCCATGAAACTTGTACACAAGGGTTATCAAGTATCACAAATCTTATGACACAAATACCACGTCACAAATTATAATACATAATTCTTCCGATGACTCTTGGCCAATATTCACTTCAAAATGCTGATTATATTCAGGGTACTTCATTGGGGGGGGGGGGGGTGGTCACCCTGCCTATGAATAATGTCCCAACCACAATTTTTCATCATATTGAATTGCGTAATGCAGGCGAGACCGCCGAGAGCGGTTCCCTTGTTCATCTATAAGGACTACGTGATGCTGTATCGTTTCACATAGCTCATTAATTATTGTGGCATCATAACTTTTATGCTGGTTCTTGTTCTTGTCTTCACCAAGTAAGGTTATTGGCCTTGGGATTTAATAGGTAGCATAAATGTAACTATTGTTTCAGCCTGTGAGTGAGATGCCTTTAATATATCAGATAATGTATATATATTTATATAAATTATATAGGTAAACCACTTCTAGGCCTTGACATTACTATGTGAGAATGTTGATGGTAGGGTATACAAACAGCATAAATGTATTATTTCAGCCTTTTAGTTGGGTACATCCAATACTTATGATAAATGTTTAATTTGTCTCTACCACATTTTGGATCGGGGATATCCTACCTTATATGTTTGTCCATCTGTTCTTCCCACTTCCTTGTTATCCTTGTTATCCTTGTTGACAGCTAGTTACACCTCAATGTCAATGAAACAGAGTTAAGTCTTTTGTCAATTCTGCTTGTTGCTACGGCAGGGCAGCCAGTGAAAACGAACTTTTAAATCAAATTATGGAAATGCAAGCATCACTTTAAACAAAAAGAACTTAATTATTCCTTGCTCATTTTTCCTGATTGAGGTGTCATATGAAAGGGCAGAAACTGAACTTTCTAGAAATGTGAATTTTTCTTCTAAATGACTTTTTGGTTTCCTTCCTTCAAATTGCTTTTAATCACTCATGCATGAAATATGCATCATATGAGTTGCATCAAATGAAAGAGGAGGATCTAAGCTTTACAAATATGTCTCATTTATTCATTATAATTGTGATTAAGTTATGATAAAACATCGATAATTCTCGGTTTCGTTTTTTCTGGGTCGCACTGTATATAGGCAGAGGTAGGTTCAAGATGCAGTCTCATATGTCTTGTCCTTCATACTCTAGCAGGTAGGCTGAGGCTGGTATTAGTTTCTAAAGAACGAATCGGACAGTGACTATAAAAGCCAGTACAAATGTATAATTTTACAGCCCTTCTCTGTGGAGATGCCTTCAATTACTTCAAGATTATTTATTGATAACTTAGCTTTTTTGCTAGCTTGCAGTTTGTTCACCAGGTGTAATAGGACTGAAATCGGCAGACATCAACATTATTGATGTGTTTATGGAGCTTTAGCGAAGGAAGTTCAAATTTAAGAATTGATTATCCTTAAGTCGGGCATCTATGATACAAATAATCGCTTTCTAGACCTTTTGGAGGTATTTATGTTTTTTGGTCCCAGACAATATTTTGAATGTAGGAAATGACACAACCTCAAACTTTTGTGCAACTCTGTATGTTATCAGTAGTATATATTCGTTGATACTATTGGTTTTTACACTGTACAAAGGGGAATTTTGAATTGACAAAAAATAAATAAATAAATGAATAATTTCTTTTTCTCGCATAGTATTTTTAAGTTGAAGATGTTTGGACCATACTCAGATTGGAATCTGGATCATGGTATCTATCCATAATGAAATATTCCAGTTTCTAAATATGTTCCTTGAGAATTATGAGTGTTTGATCTACTTCATTGATATTACAAGCATGAAGATGATTGTCATCTTTTTGTATCCAGTCAAATGTTGAGACATATTAAACTTGGTTTTGATAATTTTGTATCTAGATTATTTGTTTAACTTATCGTTCGATACACTGTGAGATGTATATCTGACAATGAGCACTTTATTTTAACATGAATCAATAGCAATTTTGCTTAACCTATCAAAGCTTTGCCTGAATGAGATAAGATTGAACAAATGGATTGACTGATATAGGCCAAAGTACTACCTAAATTTAATTTAATTAGTTGATTCACCTGTTTACAAACAGAAAATTGTCTTTCATTGCTATTTTTTCTTTTACAAAAAGACTTGGTGGTGATATGATGACATGTAACCATGGTATAAATTGATAATGAACAAAAATTGTATAAACAATTCAAAATAGTATAGTGGAATAGATGAAGGGGAGGAAGGGAAAGGAAGGAGGACAGAGAGAGTGTGTGACAGGGACGGTGAGAGGTAGGGGTGAGGTAGAGAAGGTAGGTGGTTAATAGAGAAGAGGAAAGAGAAAGAGCAGGAAAGGTTAGGAAAATGGAGGTAGAAAGGGATGGGGGGGGGGTAGTAAGCAAGAGAGGTGGTTTGAGAGATATATGTAGAGAGAGGGGGTTGGAAAACTAGGAGAGAAGGGTATGTAAAAGCAGGAGTAGGATTGGTTGCACATGAAGGAGTGGTGAAATGGAAGAGAAGTGAAAGGGACATAAACACTAGAAAGTAGCTGCAATCGTTTATTTTGAACAACCAGATGATATACCTCTCTCTCTTTCTCCCCTCTCACATCTCTCTTTCTTACATCAACAAGTTGCACCTCCACTGTCTAATATTCAGGCACCAAGGCGCGGAATAACTCTTAAATTAATATTTTTTAAATCTTAAGCAAGTCATTTTTTTATGATGAAATTTAAAATTTAAACCAGTAGGATTCTTGGCAACGAGATGCCCGAAAATCTTTATATTCAGGCTGCGTATATAACGAAGTAATATTTTAAAAATGAAAGATTCTCCTTTTTTTCGGGATCACTTTGCCCGCTTGTCATGCTTGTATAAGTCACGTATATTGGGCGGGGGAGGGGGCGTAATTTCAATGCTTGCCACGGGCGCCAAAATACCTAGATACGTCAAAATTGATAATACTACTAATAATAATAATAATGATACAAATTATGATATTAATGATAATTAAAATAATTTAGTATAATGATAATAAGTCATGTATATTGGGCGGGGGAGGGGGCGTAATTGCAACGCTTGCCACGGGCGCCAAAATACCTAGATACGTCAAAATTAATAATACTAATAATAATACTAATAATGATACAAATTATGATATTAATGATAATTAAAATAATTTAGTATGATAATAAGTCATGTATATTGGGCGGGGGAGGGGGCGTAATTTCAATGCTTGCCACGGGCGCCAAAATGCCTAGATACGTCAAAATTAAGGTACGTGTAAAACATGTATGTATAATATAAACTTTTTAAAGTGAATAAAATTCTTCCCATTGTTTCGGACCTTTAGCTTTAATAAAAATCACATCTGGGATCGTCTAGGTAAACAGTTTGAGAACCCCAGAAAGTGCGACACGCTATATACGGAAATGAGGCATTTAGGCTTGGAAGTAAACTGTAATTTGTCCTATAATAAGCAGAATTATATAAACATAATTATGTACAAGCAGAATTTCAGAAGTGTATTGGGAATAATTGAATAATCTAATGTAGTATTGACCACATAATAACATGGACTCGCAATGATTGAATGAAAGCGTCAATTAGGCTAACGTAATAAGATTCTTGCTTTCTGAAGTGTATTTCGAAGAATTTAATAATTACATGTATCGTTAACCCCATAATAACATGCACTAACACGGATTGTATGTTAGTGTCGATTAGGCTTACATAATAAAATACTTGACTTTTGTATGTACGTACATGTATATATATTTTTGTTGCTGATGCTGCTTTTCACATTTTGCTAATTGTCATAAATGTTACACCTTTCTTAAATTATCTAATAATATTTCAAATGGTTTAATTTTAACGTTACATATTACCCGATCGAGAGCGTTTTTATCTATACTCAAAATTTACAATTTTACCACAAACTAAATTCCCCATACTATTTGCTCTCACTATATAATATCACAATGTACTTATGTATCTTATTATCATGTATTTTGTTTTTACTTCTCTCCTCTTTCTTCCTCCCCCTTCTCTTTCTCTCTCTCTCTCTCTCTCTCTCTCTCTCTCTCTCTCTCTCTCTTTTTATATATCTCTCTCACTACCTCCTTCCAGCTCTTACTCGATCCTTCTGCCCCCTTCACTCAATTTCCCTCCATTTCCCTACTCGTTACCTCCACTTTCTACAATTATTTGTATTTTACCGTAATTTTAGAACGTATATAATATATACCAAGTGACACAACAGATGTTTATTTAGTAATAATTAATAGTAATAATAAAAATAATAATGATGATGATAATAATGAAATCAAAATAAATATTATCATCATCATAAATAAAAATTTGGATAAATAATAATACTAATAATAATATTAATAATGATACAAATTATGATATTTATGATAATTAAAATAATGAAATCACAGTAAACCTCATCAGACATCATCATGAGCTTCATAAATAAAAAATAATAATAACAATTAAATTGACGATTCACATTTTTGTGTAATGTAATTAGTATTTAAAACACGATCACAACAATTTTCGGAAAATCGACTCAAGGGACATTTCAATACCCTATTTAAAATGCCTTAGGTTGATTTTTTCAAAATCAGTCGCGATCGTGTTTTGAGTACTTTCCAGATCTTTATGCTTTAAAATCAGCGG